AAGGTTGATCATATTCATGTGGTTGGAGCCCTCCTCGCGATACTGATGCTCGTACACCTCTAGGAATTCAGCGCAACATCCATATACAACGGCCCTCCTATCGAGTATAAAGGCGATGTTGCCGATGTCGTCGCTCTCCTCCAGCCTCTATGGGCTGTCCTACCCGCTCCCGAACTCCGTGCAGCAAAGCTCAACTCACAACGCCACCTCCGAGCCGCCTCCACCGCCTCCAGCCCCGGCGGCCCTTCCAAATCAGGTCTACCCTCCCTCTCAGACATGGACATCCGCTCGCTCAAGGCGCTCTACGACTCCAAATCAGCCCAAGCCGCCGTCGGAGGCAACTTCTCTCTCGAAGCATTCGCCGCACGCGTGCATGCCCTGGTGATCGACGACCGCGCATTGATCGAACGTTTAATTCGATTCGCGCAAGCCCATGATTTGCTCAAGAAGAACGCGGAGAGGGCGCAGAAGCTTGCGCAAGATAGTAATACTGCGCTGGAGACGTATCAGAAGCAAGTTGCTACACTTGACGATCAGAACTATACGTTGCAGAACAAGCAGGCGGCCTTGTATGTTTTTTCTTGCTTTTTGTGTTGCTATCCGTTTGGGGGGTAGACGCTGATCATGTCGGTTTATGTTCCGATCAGGATGAATGAGATACAAGATCTCCAGGCCGCTGTGGATCGTGCGATGGCGGAGAAGAGAGACGTGGAGATGCACGCCGCTGACCAGGCGGAGACATGTAGACAGCTGACAGAAGCTAACAACGCACTTTCCGCAAAGACCCTCACGCTCGCACAAGAAGCAGCGTCAGCCCCGGAGATGGTGCGCAAGCAGCTTGAAGGGCAGCTCACAGAGTGCAAGGAAGCCCTGCGCCAGGCCCAGGAAGAAGTTGACGCGATGCGGTCATCAGAACAAACACAGCGTATTGCCCTTCTGGACGAGCTCAACTCGATGCAGACCGAAAACGCAAATCTCCGGGCGCAGCTGAGAGCCGCTAAGAAGTAATGTGTAGTTGTGGGAAGCCGGTGTTATCTGCTATCTGCCTCGCGTTCATCAGATCGGATTCGTATGTTTTTTTTATATTTTCCATACTATGATACCATTTTACTATGGATACCCATCTGATTGTCGGACGATGGCCGTTTAAAGAATGTCTGGGTTCGTTGGCCTGCTGCGCTTCTTTCGATTCTCTGCTATCTACCGTCGCGTTGTATCCGAATGCTCCCCACTGAATGTATCCCCAGTACTGCTGTCGACTTAATCAACTGCCCATTTAGTGTTCTTGATACTCTTTCATTGCGTCATGTTCCTTTCGGCTCGACTAAACATAGGCTACTTGTAAGTGTGCGTCAGGCGTGTATACTATCGTACAAGTTGTAGCAGTTGTCCTGCATGTCTACTTCTCCACTACTGTCCAGCTCCCATTCTGAACCCCTGGGCACAACGATCCGTCGACGTGAGGCTGTGTATCATGTTGGTCGTACGGGAGTCATATCAATGGCTTTGAATAATCCTACGAGATCTCAGCATTAGCTCCAAGCCACTGGCAAGGTCACTGACCATGGAGTGCATCACCAGCACTTAAAACAGATGCAAAAGCAGCAACGAGTCCACCATTTCCTTGGCGGCTCATCAAAAGTGTCCGATGAACTTGACGAATCAGAGTCCTGATCGTATCTGTGCGAAGGAGCCCTAAGGCGTGAAGAGGGGTTCTGGATAGACGGGAAGTTCGTCATGGGTTCATTGGAGAAGGCAACAGACCCATACACGCTGAAGGGATCTGCCGCTAGCACTCATGGTGATTGAGGGCTGCAATTTTGGATCGTGATAACGTCGCTGCCAGAGAATGTGGAGCGAGTAGGGTTACTCAATGTGAGTACTAGCAACTATATCCTGAGGGTGGATGAGATGATTGGCCGTTATCCCAAGTCCCATTTGAAAGAGGCGAGGTTCTGAGGGTTTTTATAAGCCAGCCCCACGCTTTTCCTGGTCTGTCCGAGTTTGTCATCTCCGCCACAAGGCAAACGGGGCGTTGGGCAATCAGGAAGCAGTATCATTCAAAGCGGAATCTTGCATCTCGTATCTATGAATGCATCCGAGTAGCACCAGCGAATGAACGGACCGCTGCTGGAACGGAACACGATGCGGATGTCATCATCCTCGAATATTCTAAGGCTCCCAGGGCGGCCGGAGAGTGGAGGGCGACATGCCCACATGCATTGTCTTCCGAGCGAAATCGCTCTAAGCGCGTGTTCGGCCAAACATAGGAGAAGGCGCTAGCCCCGGGATCCAGAAAGGCAGGATGTTATACGGGCAGGAAACATGCTGGCAGCATAATTGTTGCCATTAATAGGTTTCCATGGAAGTCCTGGCATGACAGTCTTCCTCGGCACGGTGGCAACGATGCGCTATCCGATACATGAGCTACGTCTTAGAAGGTTTAAATACACCTGCCAGGTGGACAGACAATCAGAGAGGAATTCCATGCCGGGATACTCCAGGTGAAGAAGCTTACCCTACTATAATACATGGTATGCAGCAGGAAATTTCTGGTAGGTGATAGTAAACGTGTCCATGGTGAAACATGGAAGGGTATCCGTGATGAAAGATCCAAAGTCCATTAATTCCCCAGCTAATAGTCCTGTCAAGTCCTCAAATCAGTCATCTAGTGGTGGAGATTAGTTGGAGGGGGTATTACAGATCCATTACCCTGTTGGAACATACTCTTTGAAACGCTCACGAACATGGTCCGGCTCGCTCAGCACTGCGCTGTGTACCCATCGAGCGTCGTGCTAACGCCGCAAGCAAAAGCATCTGGCACCATGAGTTGAGTCTGCGTCTGACCCGGGCTCATCATGGTGGGAGCGCTCGGACACCGCAGACGTCGTAAGACCAGTATTTGTGTGACCAAGAGAAGGCGGCGGGGAGGTCATGGTCGTGTCTGACCGAGTTGGGGGCCCTCGCGTGCGCCCGGTCCAAAAATTCTTGAAAGATGATTGGGGTTCGCCCTTTGGAAGCCTATCTCTTTTAGGCTTCGCAAAGGTGGGCTCGAGGGGTTGTAACTTGTCAAAGAGGGTATCTAGAGTTCAACCGATATTTGGACTTACAATTCGTTGTAGGTCTCTCCCGCCCATGATAGTATGGTGAGGGAAGGTCGGGGAAGCTGATTTGACGCCTTGTACAAGGGGACGCAGAGGATGAACGTCGAAGACAGCCGCAAAATGCCTTCTAGGGCACCATTCTATAACTTTTGTAGCCAACGAAGAGCCTTTATCGGGTGTGGGTCCTGCGGTTTGGAAACAATGAGGTACACTGATATATTGCAACATGTTGCGACATAGTATACAATAGTAAGTAGAACTCTCCCAAGCCTGTCCAAACCGTGACTACAACGATTCTTCCTTGAAACCTTGTATTCACCAAGGTGAATACTCGCGGAACTGGATCCAGCGCTCCCAGTGGTTGTTGTAAAGTGCTACCACCGGGAACCGTGACAACAGCATCAGAACGTGTATACGTATTAGATTGCCGCTTATAACTGATATCAATCCAGAGATTATGTACTTAGAACAGTAGCGTGCATGTGTACATGTGTGGCAGATGATGAGGATATCGCAGCTCAGCTGCCTATAAAAATGCAGACCAAGCAACGTTCGCGGGTATCGTACAACGAAGTAATGCAGAATTCACCCCGATCAATGTAATATATGCCTGAAGAATCTGCATCACCTATAAAGACCCATAAAGCAAAGATGAGTTCATATCGCGAGGCTGTTATGACACCACAGCAGACTCAAAACCTGTGTCCTGTATATGTCAACAAGGGCCCCAAACAATGTTCGACTGTGCACTCACTACTCAGCCTGCCAACGCCTCCGGGAACGGCGAAGGCCACACCATAAAGATGATTCGCTGGAGGCACTCGAGTCTGACCAACTCTCAATCTCAAAATGATCAGATGAAGGTGGCGGTGTAGGTGGTCTGTTGGAATCGAGCGTATTCGATCGGAACGGCAGAGAGAATCTCCTCCTAATCCTCGTGAAAGTGGACTACACAGAGAGCTTTAATGGAGCCCAATGCAAGATTTTTTAAAAAGGTCACTTACAGAGCGGGAAATGCGACGGTATCCACGATCACCAACGCAGCACACTGGCCCTGGGTCCTCCATGTCTGGTGAGCGCGACGAGAAGGATGAAACGATAACTTCGGGGCAGCAATGGAGTAGACTCAAGCTAAGCCCCGTCGAACGAAGTCAAGTTCGAGGAAAGCTGCAAACGCGGGGTAGAATGGCTTGAAGCAGGAGCAAGGAGCTTAAATCATATACATACGCAAGAATAGACTGCAGAGCAGTGCAGACTTATCCGGATCGTATTGACGCTTGTGGGTGCCGGCATGAGGAGAAAACGTGTTTTCCGCACCTTGTTCAAGTTGGCAGGTTGCCATAATTGACCAGTGTAATCACACGATGGATTCAGGCGAAAGAGAACATAGTCGATTGTGCCAGTAGGTTGTTCGACATCTTGGCCAGAAGTTGAAAGTCGCGACGCATTGACAAAAACATCGTTGTAAGTCAGCCAGGTGAGTTGCAACCCATGATGTGGTTTAACAGTAGTACACCCTAACCTACCTTCGCAGGTACGTCACAAATGGTGAGCCAGTAACTCGGGAGTGCGCAGCAACAAGGTTCCGCCAGCGTGAACATGGGCCGCTAACGCCAAAAATACGACAAGAATACAAGGCAGGTCGAAAGGAATTGATAGCGATGCAGCTGCGGTCGGTGTCCGCATCGGCGCACACAGCGTGCTGTGCTTGCAGTTTGATTCTCCGTGACGGGTCGTTATTTCGTTCTTCTGTGTTCGTTGAATCTTTTCAAGCAGCTTCGGTCCAGCACTTCGGGGATATTTGTAGGAGGTGTTGATTGAGGTCGAGGAGGAGAGGTGGTATGGAGCGTTGCATGACCTGGGGAACTTTGACTCATAGAGTCCTCAAGAATTCAAGCCCTCGTTGTCTAATGGTTATGACGTCAGACTTCTAATCTGGAGGTTGTGGGTTCGAGTCCCACCGGGGGTTTATTCTCATCGTCATCTTTTCGTTCCAATATGGTTTTCACTCTACGGTGATGCAAAAGTGCCATTCTTTTTGTCTCCTATCTGTTTTCTCTCCAGAGTCCAACCCGCCATGATCTCCGAGTAATGCCTTGATTCTCACTCACATTTCACAGGGTCCTGCCATAAGCATATATATACGCAGGTTCGTGCAGCATTCACTGTCAGCCTTCAATGATGTCGTTTCGGAGTCCAGGTACTATAGCTTTCACGTCGTTCTAAGCGATGCAGTCGCCCGGTGACCATCGATCTCAACAGGCTAACAGAATTGTGGAGGGACGTAAAATTTGGCGTTGAATCAATGTCGATCCACAGTTACTCGTTCCCTCGAATAAGGGCCACGACTTTTGTTCGTGTTTTGCTCATGGAGAGTCAGTCACTGGTCACCTAGGCGGCTGTTTACAGCGGCGCGTGTGCTCAGAAGAGTCTCTTTGTGATGCAAGGCATCCAAGACCCATCATTTCCCTGCAATCTTTGGGGCCAGGTTTATTCACAGACTCTCCCACTCATGTCGGGCATCTGACTCGCACACGGGGACAACATGTGCCAATTTACTCTGACAATCGCCGGTAACCCGACAGGTCTGGGACTCTCTTGACCGTCACCGTCACCCTGGTATTCTTCCACATTCGCAACTGCCGTCATCGAGCTGTAGAAGCATCGCTTAACAGTGGGTTCTCATTCTCCAGTAAGATGGGAGCGAAGGCTAATTTACCGAGTCCGCCGCTTTATGACCCCTCGGGTCATGCATAGGACAAATGCGTCTCTCAGATTCATATCATACCTTCACCAGCTTCCCTCTCCCCGTTAGGCTGATGGTGGGTAAACCCCTAAAATCTCTCTATACGCTTGCGGCGCCCATGCTCCTCGTCCGGGCTATTTGGAGGGACCTCAAATGTGGACCGTGTCCGTAAACCTGCGTTCCGCAGCTAATTCCAAAGCACATTGCTTGACTGGCAGCAGAATGCCGCCTCCGAGTTACTCGGAGCACCTCTTGCATGCGTCACTCCTTCGTCGGGTCGTATATGAAGACGACACCGCCGACGAACAGCAAGATTGATTTGAAGATTATTTTTCGCTTCACACAATTGCCCTTTGTGCTCTCTCAGGCTGGCAAATTTTCAATGGGGCGGTCAGCGCCTCCCCAAGACGCAATCTTGGAGCGAAAGCTGGCCGGTTGTTAATTACGCCCACATTACATCCTCGTTTGTCCTTGCTTACTGCCATGGTCGTCTGCCATCCTCCAAGGTGACTCCCTGGAGCAGCTCGTGTATCTCCTCGACTTTGGCTGCATCGTGTCTACGGCCTGTCCCCCGTTCCGCACCAACGAGGGCTCCCACGTAGGCTAATATCTATTTAACTCTGCTGAGCAATCTTCGCGCATATGGTCAGCTCCATTCGGCGGGACTTTCCGCGAATATCAGTGAAACTTCTCTAGGTTTTACTTGTTACGGAAGCTTCGGAATACTTCCGTATCTATCCATATCGCTCATGGTAATCGCGAGTGTATAGCTTGATTATCTACATCAAGAATTCTTCAGTTGCGATTAATTTTGTGATCGACCCATTCCTACAATGAAAACAGGTCTTCCCGTGTTTCTGTCCATGTACTTGTGGACATGGAGTGTTTTATTGCGCCAGGAACGAGCCAGGAACGGATAAGAATGCTGAAAGCGGGGCGCTGGCAGGGCGCGGAAGCTTTGTGGTCAAACTCCGCGAAGTTGAAATATGTTCTCACGCCGAAGCAGCAGCACACGATAACTCGGTGCTCAATTTCAATGCCCGCTCCCACACATCCAAGGAGCGTAAGACTACAAGGCTTTGCCACCTTCACTCACAATAACACCTACAGGTCAACGATAACAGAATAATTCGTCTTTCTGCCAGAAAATGCAGACGGACTCACCGCCGCTATCATCGCGCGGAACTCCCTCTCGCAGAGGGAGGTCTCCGCGAACTCCTGCTCAGGGCGCTTCCCATTCTTCAGACGCCTTACCAACCGAGTTTTCGAATAAACAGTCGAATACTTTCACTTCATGCCTTTCAATTCCTGTGGAGGGCGCAGTCCCATTAAATCCTCAAGAAGAGCCTGCTTCCGCATCCCACTCAAGAATGTCTGACCAATCCGCCTCAAGTTCGTCCAAACGCGCACCTCGCAAATCAAAGACACACGCCCTTGCTGCTCTCCAAAATCATGCCTCCTCACTCGATAACGATGACGTCGGTTCACAGGATGCCTCCGATGATTTTTCTGGAGAGCGCACTCCAATTTCTGTTTCGCCCTCTTTGGACCTTTCTACGGTGAAAACATCCAGTCCTAGGAATCAACCGATCCGAAATACCCCCAGGCCCTTCGGATTAGAGGACTGCCCCGTTTTCTATCCTAATTCCGAGGAATTCAAGGACCCCATGGCCTACATTCGGTCGATCTCCGAAAAGGCTTCAAACTATGGAATTTGCAAAGTCGTCCCTCCAGTCGGCTGGAAAATGCCATTTGTCACCGATACAGAGGTTTGTGTCACGCCACCGCATTTTTCTCATTTTTCTTCCAGCTCGATCTTATATATCTTCATTTCCGGGCAGGCCTTTCGCTTTAAGACTCGATTGCAGCGCCTGAACTCCATCGAGGCTTCATCTCGTGCAAAGGTTAACTTTTTGGAGCAGCTTTACCGCTTCCATAAGCAGCAAGGCAATCCACGTGTCTCTGTGCCCACGATCAACCACAAGCCACTTGATCTGTGGCTTCTCCGCAAGGAGGTCCACAAGCTCGGTGGCTATGAGGCGGTATGCGCCCCGCCACACCTTGAATTTTTGCGCCGCTGATTATTTCCATAGGTAACAAAGAACAGGAAATGGGGGGACCTTGGTGCTCTCCTCGGCTACAGGGGTATACCTGGTCTATCAACCCAGATCAAGAACTCCTATACGCGAATTATCCTTCCTTATGAGCATTTTTGTGATCGAGTGCGAAACTCGCCGACGTTATCTACCTCCCCAGGCGGAAGTCGAGACCCCCACCTCAGGACTCACGTAAATATCCAGACAGCAAACGCTCGGAATCTGTTTGCCCGTGACGTCACCTCTCCACCCTCCAGTCCTCTGACTTCATCGTCGAGCCCTTTGTCTGAGCCTCCGGACGAAGGCGATTATAAGGAGCGCAATGGTACACGGACTGAAGGTGCAAGCGTGAAGCGAAGTGCAAGGGCAGCCTCTCAGGAGCAAGCTACTCGTGCGTTGTAATCTGATGTTTATGTGGCATATCTCATTCCGTTGTTCTCAGCGACTCGGAAGGCCCGCGATTTTTCTAGTCGGATGTCCCCAGCCTCTGCCGCATCTCAGCGTGACGAGGACACTAAGCTGACTCAGGAGGTAGGTATTTTGTGCGGGATATGTTGACTCATCTTCTGACTCCAAGGTAGCAGTCTTGCGAAATTTGTCAGAAGAAGAACCACGACGAGGAGATGCTTCTTTGCGATGGTTGTGACTGCGGTATGCGAATCTTACTGGGTAAAATTACTCTTTGCTGATTCTGCTTTCGAAGGTTTCCACATGTTTTGTTTGGATCCTCCACTGAGCACTATTCCAAAGGGCCAATGGTTTTGCCACACGTGCCTCTTTGAAACCGGTGGCGACTTTGGTTTTGACGAAGGCGAGGAACATAGTCTCTCTAGCTTCCAGGCCAGAGATCTCGAGTTCCGTCGCAGGTGGTGGTCATCCCACCCCCCTACTCCAAAGACACCGCCGGATCTCAATGATCCTACCGTTAATTATGTCGGCAACACTTTGGTGACTGAATATGACGTGGAGAACGAGTTTTGGCGCCTTGTGCAGTCACCCAACGAGACGGTTGAAATTGAGTATGGAGCGGATGTCCACTCGACCACCCACGGAAGGTATGTTCTCCCTGATACTATCTTACGATTTTTCACCGCTAAAATTTTTCAACCCTTCGATAATTAGTGCCATGCCTACTATGGAGTCACACCCACTCGACCCTGCCTCCAAGGATGCCTGGAACTTGAACAACATGCCAATTCTTTCGGATTCCCTGTTACGATATATTAAATCCGACATCTCGGGTATGACCGTTCCGTGGACCTATGTAGGAATGGTCTTTTCCACTTTCTGTTGGCACAACGAGGTAAGTTACTCGCAACTCCTTAACATTGGCCGCAGTGATGAAAACTGGCATAGGACCATTATACGTACAGCATTAACTTCCGTGCGTATCGTGTATCTGTTTCATTTCTGCCGTGAAATGATTGACCCCTTTCATATAGAGCATTGGGGTGAAACAAAGACTTGGTACGGCATCCCAGGAGAAGACGCAGAGAAATTCGAAGCCGCGATCAAGAGCGAGGCGCCGGATCTCTTCGAAGCACAGCCAGATCTCCTCTTTCAGCTTGTGACGTTGATGAACCCAAAGCGTCTCACTGATGCTGGGGTCCGTGTGTACGCATGCAACCAACGTGCTGGTGAATTTGTCATTACCTTCCCTAAGGCATATCACGCTGGGTTTAATCACGGTGTACGTTCTACGCGCGATTGATCGATCACGAGTACTGACGTGGCGAGGCTGTAGCTTAACTTCAACGAGGCCGTGAACTTCGCGCTCCCTGACTGGCTGCCTCACGGCCGCGACTGTGTGCAGCGTTACCGTGAGCACAGAAAGCTGCCGGTGTTCTCCCACGATGAGCTCCTCGTCACCATTACACAGCAGTCGCAGTCCATTAAGACTGCGTTATGGTGAGTAAATAAGTGGGCGTTCTTGTGATTGTCGCTGACCTAGGCTCGTGATAGGCTGGAGTCGAGTCTCAGAGAAATGACTGAGCGTGAGCTGGGCTCTCGCCAAGTCGCCAGGACCATGGGGATGACGGAAAGGGTCGAGGAAGAAGATCGGCCCGAAGACCAGTACCAGTGCACATACTGCAAGGCCTTCTGCTACCTCTCACAAGTCATCTGCCA